GAAAGCGAAAAGTCTTCAAACTTGGAAACAAAGTCCAGTGGAATGTTTTTAATTTTCTTTTTTTTTTGGAGTAATGGAATATTCTATTGAGATTATCTAGAAATTTCTGGGCTAATTACATGGCAACATTGCTAGAAAACATGTGTCAGATTGTCTAAGTCAAAGTCCAGACTGGAATTCATTAAGTTGGGGAAAAGACAGTCTAAATAAATTGGTAAACTAATCGTCTTCAAGTTGTACAAAGCTGGGAAATTTGAGAATTTTGTTCTTTTTTACATCAGATAAAACTCATGAGTTTGTAATAAAGATAATTATGATTATACCAAATCACGTTTTTGTTATTGTGACAAGGGCTTACATTGTATACTTCTCTATTATATTTCACAAGTACTAAATTTTGAGATGCAAAGAAACATAATTAACCTCTAGTATACATATTGATGTGCTCCATTGTGCGTGCCGTCTAAGCTCATGAAGCCACTGCTGCCCAGAAAGTGGAGTCATGTGCATTGCTGAATTAGAAACGTATGATTCTTGCTTGCCTGTCTTTGTTAGGGGAAAGTAGGAAGGATTAAGGAGGGGATGAGGGAAAAAATGTTCCTGGGGGATTATTAGGGAAAATGCAGTCCTGTATTCTACAAGTCTGAACTCCTGAAAGCAAACGTTGGGGAATCAAGCTTCCTGTTGACCTTTTTGTTTAAGACTTAGTGATAGACCTACTTTCTGAAATGTTTCTGAATATTCCTCTTAATTCTGGCTTTGCTGTAAGTCCAGAACAACACTCCACATTTCCTGCATCTTATTTTATTTATTTATGGAGTTTTTCATAAAGTTTATTAATTTAACTCTGTCCTCTCTACATTCAGGGTGCAGACATGTCGCCGTTTGGCCGTAAGAAAGGAAAGACTCTCTGCATGATAATATTGATCAACATCTTCATCTGTGTTTTGGTGGGCATCTTGTGGACATTTGGGCACAACAAAGACGATCCAAAGAGGGTTCGGATTCCATCCCAGAGGTTTTGGCGCCCTCATATAATGAGTAAATCCTTCTGGAACAAGGAGCAGGAGCGCCTGGACGTGATTAACAACCCGCTTATCAACTCTGAACTCTTCTCTAACTCCCTCATTGCTCTGCCAGATTGGCTTAATGATACTGGACCTCTTGACCTGTGCGAAAAGGATTTTAGAGTCCCAAGGCAAATCATAGACTATAACACACTACCAAAGCGGTTCCAGGACTTTCTCCTACACATGCGGTGCAGGACTTACCCAATGCTGATTAATCAGCCCCACATATGTGATAAAACACCTTTCCTTCTCCTGGTGGTCAAGTCACTGATCCCTCATTTTGACCGGCGACAGGCCATTCGCCAGACGTGGGGGCAAGCTGGTACCTTAGCCAATAGACCAGTGAGAACAGTGTTCCTGCTAGGCAGTGCTTCATCTGAGGACAACTTTCCAAACCTGCAGGGAATGCTTGACCATGAGGCAAAGCTTCACCAAGACCTGCTTCAATGGGACTATAGGGACACGTTCTTCAACCTCACCCTCAAAGAGGTCCTTTTTCTACAATGGTTTACCAAGCATTGTCCTCAAGCTCGGTACGTTCTAAAGGGTGATGACGATGTCTTCGTCAATACCTTCAGGATTATTGACTACCTAAAAGGCTTGTCTGAGGGCAAGGCGAAAGATTTGTTCATTGGGGATGTTATAATAAATGCAGGTCCACACAGAGACAAGAAGCTGAAGTATTTTGTCCCTGAGAGTGTGTTTGTGGGGCAGTACCCACCCTACGCTGGTGGGGGAGGTTATATGTTCTCTGGGAATTTAGCAATACGCCTGTGCAACATTTCTCAGCAGGTTGTCTTGTATCCAATTGATGATGTCTACACGGGGATGTGTTTGAAGAAACTGGGCCTGGTCCCTGAGAAGCACGGAGGCTTCAAGACGTTTGGCATTGAAGAAAAATACAGAGACAGTCCATGTGTCTACAGAGACTTGATGCTGGTTCACAGCGTAACGCCACAGGAGATGCTGAAGATCTGGTCATGGGTTGTCCACCCTCATATCAGCTGCAACTGACCTGTTTTAACAGGTCTTTGTGCTAACAGTCTATTCTGCATTTAATTCAGTACTTGAAAGAAATCATAATTTATTGCTTTAAAAAGGAGTACTTTATGAAGCTTAAAGTTTTGAATAAACAAAAAGAAAAATCTACAGTGTGACTTATTGGTCTTCTAATAAATGCATGGTTTGAAAACGCAATGATCCACTGTTGGGTGCTGCTGCAGCTAGAGGGTGCTAGAGCTGCTTTTAGTGAGGCACATCACATTCAATTCCTGTTTATATTTATATATATATACTGTATATATAATCAAGAAACTCTTCCTTACCCACCACGGGCAGTCTTCCCACCTTTTCCTCCAATCTGGGGTCCTCTACCGGAGGCATGGGAGCCTGAGGGTTCTGCCAGTATCTTTGCTGTTACTAGAGCTGCACTCTGCTGGACTGAGATGTCTGATGTATTTCCAGGGATCTGCTGTAACCACTCCTCCAGTTTTGGGGGCCCCTGCCCCGAGGGCCCCAATGGCCACGGGTACCACTGATGCCTTGACCTTCCAGGTTTTCTCCAGCTCTTCTTTGAGCCCCTGCTATTTCTCTAGTTTTTCATGTTCCTTTTTCCTGAAGTTGCAGTCACTTGGTATCGCTATGGCAACCACAACGGCTTTCCTCTGCTTTTTGTCCACCACCACAATGTCAGGTTGGTTTGCCAACCTTTGGAGGTGTTTCCCACTTTGACCTTGGAGTTTCCAGTCAATACTTACACCCGTAGCACATATTGATATTGATTTGTAATGTTATTAAATATTGTTGTTATTAAATATTGTTGGTATGTTCTATATGCATTTACTAGATGTCATTTTTTTTCTCCTTTTATTTCACGTCTAGGGTTTTTTCATGTATTCTCTTCATTCTTTTTTAGCCTATAGTAATTTCTCCCTTTAACTTTTTATTCCCCATTCACTTTAATCTCTCTGTATTTTCTGTCTGTCAATCAAGCGGAGCATCATATCAGAGCCATAATTCTACACTTGTCAAAGATAATCTCCTATTCAGAGTCCTCTAATGCTGGATATATAAAAAGAATAAATGCAGAAAAGAAGTAAAATACGGAAGAGGATTAGGGCCACTGAAAAAAATAAA